ATTAAAACTGGCAGGAATATGTGGATTCTGTAATGTTAATAATGTACGTAACATCAGACTAACTTGTGAGTGACGTGAAGCCATAAAATTGAAGTACAAAATACTCGCTCGCCATGTCATAATTGTCCTTAGGGTTTCCAAACACTATACATGACACATGACTGGCAAGCAGTGATGTAATATGGCTGACTGCACTATAAGCCGACCACATAACTGTATTAAACGTACATTCACGGAAAATCTCTTTTGGAATTTTGTAAATTATTTACACCGTCCAGGGTAAAAGACGCCTCATCACTATACATGACACATGAATGGCAAGCGCTGGTGTGACATGACTGACTGTGCATTCTGCTATAAGCCAACTACATAAGTACTAAAATACAGTACCTGCTTTATAGTAACTGTTCAGAGTGACCTCTGCCAGCTGCAATGCAGTTTTCGGCACACATCATGAGGGATTGGGTAGCAGAAGCAATGTTGCCTGAATGGTGACGTACGTGCTCTGCCGCTGCAAAAATACGATTCCGCAGTGTTTCTCATTTGTACATCCTCCCTTTACGACTGCACAGGAACACTTGGAAGAGAACCAGTCTCACGCAATGTCTGGTGAATTTGCATAAATACATGTCAAAATGGAATCCTTTGAATGGGAAAACGCCTTTGGTACTCTTCAACAGCAGAACGTGCATTGCCACTGCAAAATCCATACACAACATACATATCACAATATTCAACGTGTGAAAACACAAAAGGCATTTCAGCAACACCGTACAACTACACGTAATTTACTAACCATTCACGACACTGCCGCAAAGTACACTGTAGCCTCTGTAGGTAGCGCATAAGCTTATGGCTAGTGTGAATCAGACACTCAAGGACAAAGAGATAAGAGAACACAGCTGACAGGTATAGTGCGTGGACCTGCCAGAAGACTGCACTTTTCTCGGGCCATTATCTCCATAACCGTTCAAATTTGTACATAGGTGTTTTGGGTTATATCGGCATACTTAACATAAGCAACACCCTCCCGAAGTTTGGTCCATTCCTCCTGGGACATCCTGTATATATATATATATATATATATCTCAGAAACTAATTTTTGTACACGTATCTGGTTTATGTCATTGGAAAGGAAAACTCTGAATTTTTTTTTCCATGCCTGGCTTATGCACATGTGCGGCCACATTTCTGCCACCATCTTATTAATCACCTGGACAGGCTGATGGCTGGGAGATGGATCAGCAGGGTGGACCAATCGCTTAGCCTCCTAGGTCACCCGATTTAACCCCATTGGATTTCTTCTTGTGAGGTTATGTGAAGAACATTGTGTACCAGGTTAAGATCAATGACCTTCAACGCCTGAAAGCCTGCATAAGGGACACTGTGGCTACAGTAACACCAAACATGATTCAAGCAACGAGGTCAAATATTGTCTGGATATTTATTGTGCCACCAAGTGAGCCCACATTTAAATTTACTGAGAAAGTTATATACTCAGAAAAGACTTCTGTAGTTTTCCTTTTGTAATGGTGTAACCCATAGATGTGTATAATAAATGCTTTCTGAGATATAATTATTTTATTTTGGATACCTTTCATCCAGATACTCTGTATTTGTTGTTTTGTATATATATTATATGAAGTTTTAGTTGATGATTTCTGTATTTTCAGGAAATGTTTAAATATGACAAGCTTCTCAACCTTGACCAGATATACTCCAATGATATTCATAAAATAGCTGACATTTATGGAATTGAAGCTGCCAGGAAAGTCATCGTGAAGGTAGGATGAAACTTGTAATACATTTTATTTAAGTTTTTTTATTTGTGTGTTTTTAATACATGGTGGCACACAGAATGATCCAGTATTTGATCTATTAATAAAATCTGTATTTCAATTACAATACTAGAAACTGACATACAAAAAGAAAGAACATGGCATGGAGATTTGTCCTCTGTAAATCAAATGTTCAGTATATCCACTATTATGTCCGACAACATCTTCAACACAAGCTGTGATGTTGATTACTTGACCGCACATATCCTCAGTTATCTCATTGTAGGCTTGAATGATTAGTGATCTCAATTCCATTAGTGTTTGTGACACTTTTGGAGATATGTTTTCTTTAAGGAATCACCAAAGAAAGTTGTCACATGGCCAGTTCTGTTCACATGCAAAACGATCAGGAAATTGGTTTGAGATAACACGCGAGTCGGAAGTGTCATGTAGGAAGTCCATAACAACAGTCATAGTTTGCAGCCTTGCTCCATGCTGTGCGAACCACTGAGTTTGTAATGGCAAACCTGTAGCAAGAAGGTGAGGTGCAAAAGTATTGCACAACATGCTTAAACAGTGATCACTGTTCACTGTCTCTTCAAAGAAAATTGGCCCTAGCAGTCTATGACTTGAGATGGCGATGCACACTGTAATTCTCGGTGCATGACGCACCTTCTCATGAATCATACATGGATTCTCTGACTCCCAAAATTGCACATTTTGTTTATTAACCACATTATCCAAGTGAAAGTATGCCTCATCAGAAAACCAATGCTGTTGAACGATGTCTCATTATTCTGAAGTTATTCAGCAAATGTCATTCTTTGTTGTTTGTTTTGAACTGTAATTTTTAGGCAACTCTTGTCATTTTATATGAGCACAAATTCAAAGCACTTTTCAGTATTCATGGCACTGACCATCTGGATGTCCCTAGTTGTGCTGCAGCCTTTCTTGTTGATTTACTGGGGCTTCTTTGCAGCGACACTCTGACAGCATCAATGTTCTCTGGAGAACACAGATGAAAGCATGTTTCCTATCCAACACTAAACCATCATTATTAAACCGATTATAATGTTTGTGAATTATTTTGAATGAAGGTGCCCCTTGTGTTTGAAAGTGGGCATGAACCCACCTATGTATGACCACAACACTTCTTGTTTCAGCAAAGAACAACACTGTTTATATGTGTTGTTCTACAAACAGTCTTCCTTTGTCAGCCATCGTGTGTAACCTGGCACATGAGCAGGAACAGTGGGACACTAGCGCACTCGGGAAGAGTCAGGTCGGATCTCCGTGATCTACTGTACAAAACATTCATTGCATGGTTGAGTAATTAATACGAAATGAAATACTGGATCATTTTGTGCACCACTCTATATGTTCGGAGACTGAGAATGCAGCATAAATACCTGTTGGAACAAATGCTGATCAGACCCCAGTATTTTTTGACATGCCGGAATCCACAACAGTTAACTCTGCTGGCGAGTGAATAATGTAGATTAGAAGTACATGAGCTGAGAAACAGCACCACACCATAATGTTAGCTGTCACCTGATAGACAGATGTTACAATGCAAAGAAAAAGTTCTCTCAGGGAATTTGGCCTGTAGTGTGGGTCTAGGAAAGTGGCTGAATGACTGAAGATCTGGTTGAAGACTGGATTGAATTTGTACAAGATTTGAGGTTTTCACAGTGGTGACTAAGAAGAATGCCATTTTCTTTAAAGTGGCGCTATGTAGATCTTGTTTGATCCAATATTTCGGAGGAACGTATCACCTTCATCTTCACGGACATCTGCAAGTGAGACTGCAGTCACCTGCTCAAGCTGGATACTCACTTGTGGATTTTTCTAACCTGAAGATGGAGGTGATACATTCCTCTGAAATGTCCATTCAAACAAGATCTACAGTGCCACATCCTGGAAGACAGCATTCTTCATGAATTGACTCTGTATGATTTCAACGACCAGGTACACGTTTTTGCCAGCAAACCCTGTTAGTGTTAGACAGTTCCAGGGGCCATACCACAAACTGTGAAGGTCCAATTGTGAGAAATATAACCTGGCAATCATACCAGGAATTATGTTTTGGCCACTCAATGTCTTAATTAATCGGTCATTTCGTAGCATACATTCGACATTCATATAGTGAAGGGATGCAGAACGCAGCATGAGACATGCCGACAGGTAGCCACAAAAGAGCCATGCTGGTGGAAAATGTGCCGCAGGATTCTTGAAGCCTGGCAATCTGTTTTGCCAGACATCATAGCGAAAAGCTTTAAAGTTGCCTTTAACTCTCACATGATGGATGGGAGTGAGGATGATGTGCTGTGGCATCAGTCCGATGCAGAAATCCATCAGGGGGATGCAACTTACTGTGAAGAAGACCAGATGGTGAACTAATGTACTTTCATTAAAACGGTTAATTATAATAACATTGCCACATTTTGTTACTCATGTAATTATTTTCATCTTTATATGCATAATTTTAGAGAGAGAGTGTTACGAACTAATTAACAACATCAGGGAATCACTTCCTGGTAAGTTCATTTTAACATTTTCCTCAGACACTAATGGTCTCTTCAGGTTGTTGCGCAACATACGTTACTTGCGTCCCAGCCATAGCTGTGTATAGAATAACAGCTTTATCTTTGGAGGATCAAGTTTCTTAAAATAGTTATGTAATGTTCCATGTATAAGCTTCACCCATATTTTGGAGGGTAAATTTTAGATAAAAAGTGCTTCTCATACACGTGTAATGTGATGTGTAGAGCCATATGATGTAGGGTCCTACAATTTGTCTGCAGTAGATAATGAATTACATGACATTTTTGTTATGTGGGCCCTGGGGTTGACTGAGCCTCTAGCAGAAATGAGAACCAGGGGTAACAGCCGGCCGGTGCATAAGGCTGACAACCTCACCGCCATGAGTGAGCTGATTGTCTAGAAAATATGGGAGCCTCAATGTCTTATGATCCTCCATGACCTGTTACAGGGAAAGCTTTACCTCTTTTTTTTACCTTTTAAAATGTGAAACAAAACTTGGAAATTGAAGAAGCCGTAGTGTGTCGGCCGTGCTACATGCTTGAATGGGATAGACAAGGCATGCATAGATAATTCTGATGGGAAAGTGCCTCAAAGGGAAAGGAGATGTGAGAATGCCATTAAGCTGAATGTGAAGGGACACATTCAGTATCCTGTCCAGTATTAGTTGTGCTGGACTTTCAGGTGCTTTCATCCAGTAGTTGTAGTTACAGACTTTATTGGGGGCATGCAGTAGTGTAGTTGGTTGAGGCACTATGCTACAAGCCGTAAGGTCATGGGTTCAAGTCCTGGTGAGATCATTGGATTTTTTCAGTTGATCTAATCGTTCCAGCCACATGTGGCCTTGGGGTTGACTCAGCCTCCAACAGAAATGAGTACCAGGAATTAATTAAATAATTTTCTTGGGGAGTACATTGTGGCTGGTGCGTAAGGCTGACAACATTACCGCCATCTATGAGCTGATTGTCTAGAAAATGTGGGACCCTTAACATCTCACAGCCCTGTGGGCCTTCATGGCCTGTTACAGGGATAGCTTTACTTTCACTTTTTTACAGACTTTATTGCTTTTGTCAGGAAAAGGAGTTGTGTATAGATGTGAAAGGAACAGCATTTTTTCTCACAGTCTTCCTAAACGTGAAACACTGAAATAACACCCATTTTCAGCCATAATAGCTGCTAATTCCTAAACAACACTTGTTTAACAAAATTCTCATGTTTTTTCTTTCTCTTTCAAATTCGCCTCTCTCACTTTTTTTAGTGATAATTTACTCCAACCTCATTTAACACATTAAGTGTTTGTATGCAGAGTCACCCTTATTGTCTGATGTTACTCTTGCCTTGATGTTTGCTTGTGGGAACCGTTTGTCCTATAGCTCATTGCTGTCTCCGAGCATCTGTAATTTGCAGCCCTCTTGATAAATGTTCGCTATTTTATAATTGGGTTGGTTTGGAAGTATACACTCAGCTTGCTATGTTTTCTCTTTTTTGGACATGGATGACCCAACACTGAATTTCTGCTCACCTCTTCTCCATGCACTTTGATGATCTGCTCTCTGAGTTGGCCAAGGGTAGTCATATTTTGATAGAAAATAAGTGCATGTGTAATGTTTTGAACTTCAGATAAGCCTTTTTGACCATGAGTTTGTATGTTTTTAATTTGTGTGGTTTTAACAGTTTATGCTTCTGATACAAATGTGTGAAAGAGGTACAGTAAAATCTTCTTGGGCGATAAGCTGTGTCAGTGTGGAGTTGGTGACTGTGTCTGTCTTGATCATTACGTGTTGATGTTAACACAGCAAAGCAGCTGTTAGCTGTGGACTTTGTCCCGTGTGTAGTTCTGTGAGGTTTCACACCCTGTGTTGGATGCATGGCCATATTTGAGTTGTGGTCTTTGGGAATTTATCTCTGTACATAATGTGGAATATTTGCTCAAGGCAAGAACTCTGAAGCCAGCAGAAGCAGATAGGTACTGAGGGCTCTTTCCCCGGGGGGTAAAGCAGCTGGGGCATGAAGGTTACCACTCACCTCTAGCTAGTGGCGAGGTCAAGAAAATGTGGGTCTATACATCCTTTACCTTTTCACTTTTATGGAATTTAGTATAGCATTACTTTCATGTTTTATTCCTGTAACTAAATTATATTCATAGTTACTACATTTTAACCCTTCCATTATATAACAAATGTATAACATAGACTGAGGGTGTTTGAGAACAGAGTGTTGAGAATATTTTGACTAAAGAGAGATGAAGTGACGGGAGACTGGAGAAAACTGCATAATGAGGAGCTTCATAACTTGTACTCTTCTCCAAGTATAATTAGAATGATCAAGTCAAGGAGGATGAGGTGGGCAGGGCATGTAGCACGAATGGGGAGAAGGGGAATGCTTATAGGACATTGTTGGGAAAGCCAGAACGAAAGAGATCACTGGGAAGACCAATACATAGATGGGTGGACAATATTAAAATG